AGTTATCTACCTATAGCGCACGAACTGGCGCGTGGCAGGCCTTTGAATTTATGTTCTTTGTTTTGGGCTGCCCTTTATAGAGGTATGTCTTTTCTTCAGGCTCAATTGAAGAATGGTGCATCTCCTACTGGCAGTGGACCTCTTTGGTTCACTCAGCTGTGGTTGAGATCCTATTTTCCATCGCTTGGTGCTCCATCCATTTCTTGTCCTTCTGCTAGCTGTTACGGGCTAGCTATGGAGCCTTTAACTCCTGTAAGTATGTCCAAAAGGGACATTTTTTCATTCTTTTATTCTTTAAATTCAATCTCTTCCTTCTTTCCTTTCCCTCCTTTTTTGACTCCGGACTACGTGCATCCTCCTTCCACTCTAGATAGCGCGAGCACATCTCTGCTCGTTTGGATCCAGTTCTTATCTGGGAGGGAGCTTTTCCACGATATCTTAACCGGGACCAATGCCAAAGCTGGGGTAGAGATTTATGCTCCCCAATTTTTTGCTCGGCAGCTTGGTTTCGGCCAAACTTGGCCTGTTCCTCTTTGTTATTCGAAGAACTTAAACGACCGTTTTCATACCATTAATAAGGTGGAAGTAGAGGCTATAAACGCTCGCAACCTCCACTTATCAAGCCATTTTTCATTAGCCCCTTTTAATCCTTGTCACGCTACTCACCCTCTTTTCGAACAACTTTGGCCATCGGTGAAGCGCAGATTATTTGCGACTGAGGCCAATCGTGCCTTTCATTCATTAGACCAACCGAGTATTTCTTCTCCTCCTCCTGCTTTGGCCACTCCTTTGTCTATTCGGAACCACTCTCCTTCTCGTCGTACTAAACAATCTGCTCGTCCATCTTCTTCCCTCCCTGCCAGGCCAACTATGGCCAAGAGTGCTCCAAGCCGCAAACGGCCAGCCTCAGCATCTTCCATTCTGGAGGATGATGTTGATGATGATGATGATGATGTCCCTCTTATCGTTAAAAGGAAGGTACTTAAATTGGCCTATTTACAAGTATGCTCTTCCCCATTTGAAAATTTTCTGTGTACTGATGATCTTTTGGACTTTTCAGAAAAGCTCAGCTTCCCCTTCAAAGGCTTTGGCATTACCAACTCCTGCTCCATCATCCCTTGTTGAGGCTACTTCATCCAAACCGGTTGATGGGACCATGCTTAAAGGTATATCTTCAGTCCCAGATTCTTCATCACAACCCATGAATGAGCCGCCTTCCTCCCAGGGCGTCGACCCCCCAATCACCGAAGCAGAAGGTAATTCAGTTTTTGATGTCTTACCTTTGCTCGTGTTATTGGTTTCTGACTGGTTGCTCTTTGAACTTTGCAGATACTCCCATGAGTCCGCCGTTGTGGCAACGTCTTCTCGCCTCGGACAAGGGGAAGTCCTCACGAATGGATGAGTCGTTGGTGGCCAGCTTGGCTGAGGGTGCGCCATCTTCTACGATTGTCGACGAGGTAGTTTTTCTCTTTGTCCCATTCCTATTTCCAACTTGTTCGTTGTAACGAATATTTTTAACGTTGGCAATCTTCTTTGCAGGATGCTGACGGGATTGTTCGTTCTATCCAGGATTTGTTCGCTTCCTGGGGGCAGGTCCAAATGCCTCGCCCTACTCCATATGATCGTCCTACTGCTTCTTCAGAAGAGGACTTGAAGTTCTTGAAGGGGTTGGTATTTGAGTACGTGTCCTTCATGGACATGGACATTGGAAGGGCTAGTGTTGCCAGACACAAGGATGAACTTGAACGCTTGAGTGCGAAATTAGAGCAAGCACTGACGCTTCCGTCGCTCAATCTTTCTGCCGACTTTAAAGCGACGTTGAAGGTCATTCACTCCGAGGTCCTTACTATGCTGGC